ACACACATAATCTTTTCTGAAACACATACCTCATGGCCCTTCTAAACATTCAGGGTGGATTTCCTAAGAATAGGAATATGTCAGAGTACAGTCGTAAACGTCATGAACTTGCTTTAATACTTTATCTACCCTACAGTGTGCATTCCAGTGTTATCGCTGGCCAACACTCTCCTCTGCGGATTGCCTTTTCTCTCCAGCACAGGATCCAGTCTAATGTTAAGGATTGCATTTCGTCATCTTGTCTCTTTCACCTTTATTGTCTTTTATGACTGACATTTTTTGCCAAAGACAGCCCCCCTCCCACATACTTTCTTTTTTTTTTTTTTTTTAAGATTTTTATTTATTTATCAGAGAGAGAGAGAGAGAGAACAAGCAGGGGGAGCAGCAGAGGGAGAGGGAGAAGCAGGCTCCTCACTGAGCAAGAAGCCCAATGTGGGACTCGATCCCAGGACCCTGGGATCATGACCTGAGCTGAAGGCAGACGCTTAACAACTGAGCCACCCAGGCGTCCCCCCACATACTCTCTTTTAATGTGATGATCCTCACTTTGTGTTTTTCTCATGTTTGCTCCTGATTGGATTGGGGATTATGCATTCTTGGCCAATAAATTGCATGCACGACGGTGTGTGTTGCTTCAGCTGTCCCATCTGGAGGCACACAGTGTCCATCTGTCCCTCATAGGTGATGTTCATTTTGATCACCTGATCGGAGTGTTGCCTGATTTCCCCATGAAATAATTACTGGGGCTTCCCCCCTCCCTCATAACTAAGAAGTCGTCTGTAAGAAGACACTTTAAGACCATGCGTATATATTGCTCTTCGTCAAAATTTTCCCTAAAGGTAGGATCTGTTGATGGTTCTTACCTGATTTGGTCTTTACTATAATGGCTGCAAAGTGCTGATTTCCCAGCTCCTGCACTACTGTAAGAAAGAGCCTTTCCCTTTTCCTCCCTGGCTGCTTAAAACTCGGCCGCCATCATGAACGACACACTTACCAGACGAGGAAGTTTTTGACCCACTGACTATTTCAGCAGAAATAAATGGCCACTGATGTTCTTCACCTAGGAAAGGCAACAGTACCTAAGACAGAAATTCGGGGAAAATCTAGCCAAAATATACAACACCACACCAGATAGCCTCTTTATATTTGGATTCAGAACCCATTTTGGTGGTGGTAAGACAACTGGTGTTGACATGACTTGTGAGTCCTTGGATTATGCAAAGGAAAATGAACCCAAACATAGACTTGCAAGATACAGCCTGTATGAGAAGAAAAAGACCCCGAGAAAATGGGAAGGAAAGGAGTCCAAGAACAGAACGGAGAAAGTCAGAGGGACTGCAAAGCCAGGGTTGGTGCTGGCAAACAGTGAGCTGGGAACGGGACAACAGAAGGTGTAAAGATTCCGCGGTGACTTTATCTGCGGTGATGGTGCAGATTTTTCAAGAGAGGATTAATAAACCGAGAACTTAAAAAAAAAGGAAGAGCCCTTCCTTCTATCATCTATCTATCTATCTATCTATCTATCTATCTATCTATCTATCTATCTATCTATCTTTCTATCTATCTATCTATCAGTGGTATGGATTCATGAATTCCTATTTTTTCAATGACTTACAATAGAATTATTATACTTAATTATTTTAGGGCTCAAATTATTCCAGAGTTGACCAGTGAGGACATCTTCAGGACTCTGCTATCATGACCTGAGCCAAAGTCAGACGCTTAACCAACTGAGCCATCCAGGCACCCCTCATTTGTTTTATTTCTTAAATTCCATATACAAATGAAATCATGTGGCGTTTGTCTTTCTCTGACTGACTTATTTCTCTTAGCATTATACTGTCTAGCTCCATCCATGCTGTTGCAAATAGCAAGATTTCATTCTTTTTATGGCTGAATGATTTTCCATTCCATGTGACATATATATATCTATCACATCTTCTTTATCCGTTCATCTATCAATGGATACTTGGGCTGCTTCCATAATCTGACTGTTCTAAATAACGTACAATCAACGTCAGGGTGCATATATCCCTTTGAGTTAGTGTTTTTGTATTTTGGGGGTAAATACCCAGTAATGTGATTACTGGATCATAATGTTATAGGGTAGTTCTATTTTTAACTTTTTTTTTTTTAAAGATTTTATTTATTTATTTGAGAGAGAGAGAATGAGAGAGAGCACATGAGAGGGGGGAGGGCCAGAGGGAGAAGCAGACTCCCCGCCGAGCAGGGAGCCCAATGCGGGACTCGATCCAGGGACTCCAGGATCATGACCTGAGCCGAAGGCAGTCGCTTAACCAACTGAGCCACCCAGGCGCCCTCTATTTTTAACTTTTTGAGGAACCTCCATACTGTTTTCCACAGTGGCTGCACCAGTTTGCATTCCCACCAACAGTGCATGAGTGTTCCTTTTTCTCCACATCCTCACCATCACTTAACGATTATTGTATTGTTGATTTTAGCCATCTGACAGGAGTGAGGTGATATTTCATTGTGGTTTTGATTTGCATTTCCCTGATGGTGAGTGATATTGAGCATCTTTTCATTTGTCTGTTAGCCATCTGGATGTCTCTTCTGGAGAAATGTCTGTTCATGTCTTCTGCCCATTTTAATTGGATTATTCATATTTTGGGTGTTGAGTTTTATACATTCTTTATATATTTTGGATACTAACCCTTTATCTGTATGTCATTTACAAATATCTTCTCCCATTCTGTAAGTTGCCTTTTAGTTTTGTTGATTGTTTCCTTCCCCATGCAGAGGCTTTTTATTTTGATGTAGTCCTGATAGTTTATTTTTGGTTTTGTTTCCCTTACCTCAGGAAACAAATCTATAAAAAGATCGTAACAGCTGATGTCAGAGAAATTATTGCCTGTACTCTCTTCTAGGATTTTTATGGTTTCACGTCTCACATTTAGGTCTTTAATCCATTTTGAGTTTATTTTTGTGTAAGGTGTAAGAAAGTGGCCCAGTTTCATTGTTTTACAAGGAGCTGTCCAGTTTTCCCAACACCATTTGTTGAAGAAACTCTCCTTTTCCCATTGCATATTCTTTCCTCCTATGTCAAAAATAAATTGACCGGATAATTGTGGGTTTATTTCTGGGTTTTCTGTTCTGTTCCATTGATCTATGTGTCTATTTTTGTGCCAGTACCATACCATTTTGATTAATTTAGCTTTGTGATATTCCCAGTTTTGTTTTTCTTTTCAAGATTGCTTTGACTATTCAGGGTCTTTCATGGATCCATACAAAGTTTAGGATTGTTAATTCTCATTCTGTGAAAAATGCTGTTGGTATTTTGATAGGAATTGCATTAAGTGTGTAGATTGCTTTGGGTAGTATAGACATTTTAACAATATTTGTTCTTCCAATCCATGAATATGGAAGGTCTTTCCATTTTTTTGTGTCATCTTCAATTTCTTTCATCAGTGTTTTATGGTTTTCAGAGTATAGGTCTTTCACCTCTTTGGTTAGGTTCATTCCCAGGTATCTTATTGGTTTTGGCACAATTGTAAATGAGATTGATTCCTTAATTTCTCTTTTTGCTGCTTCATTATTAATGTATAGAAATGCAACAGGAGTGTTTGGGTGGCTCTTGATCTCAGCTCAGGTCTCAATCTCAGGGTCGTGAGTTCAAGCTCTGCATTGGGCTCCACACCCAGTGTGGAACCTACATTTAAAAAAATGCAGTAGATTTCTATACATTAATTTTGTATCCTGTGACTACTGAATTCATTCCATTTCTTGAATTTTTTAAAGCTTTTTATAAACTTGGTATATTAGCCCTTTATCTGTAATATGTACTGTTAATATTTTCTCCCAGTTTTTTGGTCATGCAAAAGTATTTTATTATCATATAGTCAAATATATCAGTTTTTTCTCTTATTGCCTCTGGATTTTGAGGCATAGTTTTTTTTTTAATTTTATTTATTTGAGAGAGAGAGAGAGCACAAGTGGGGGAAGAGGCTGAGGGAAAGGGAGAAGCAGGCTCCCCGCTGATCAGGGAGCCCAGTGTGGGGTTCAATCCCAGTACCCCAACATCACGACCTGACCCGAAGGCAGACGCTTAACCCACTGAGCCACCCAGGTGCCCTGAGGCATAGTTGTAAAAAATCCCCTCAACAGACATCTCCCGGGAATTTGGTTGTCATGATCAGCTTGCACATCCCCCTGCCCCCCACACACTTCCCAGGGCAAAAGTATTGGTTAGCTCAATTCTTAAACACCCACTTGGGAATTTGGCTCACTCTGCCTATTTTGGGCATCTTTCTCCTCATCATTTACAAAAGACCAGGTCTTGTAAGGAGAAGGAGGGATGAGGTGTCTGGGGAACAAGAGCACTCTTCTGAATGAGGGAATCCATCACCTAGGTCTTATTTAAGGAACACATGATCCCAGGCAACCAGTACCAGGTCAGCCTTCCCACCTGAGACCTACTCCTCCCATGGTCCCTTCCACACCCTGTCAGGTCCCGGATGAGGCAGTGTGTGAGGCAGAGGTCTGTGACCATCTTCTATCCTCTTCACTCCCACTTCCTCCTCTCTGCAGGCCCCCAGCTGGGCTGGATGCAGAGTCTTGCAGATTCACCCTTGACCTTGGAGCAAAGGAATTCGGCTTGTGTTACCACGTGCCGGGAAATGGAAGGATGCTGAGCTGGATCAAACAACCGGCTCTTATTCCTTCTTACTCCACCCCAAGGATCTGAGCAAGGTGCAGAAGACAACAGGCAGTTGAGCTGGCCTGTGTATCTTTACCAGCCTGTGGGAGATCATAACATCTCCTTACCCACATGTGTTGGGATATCTCAGTTCCTCAGCCACTTGATTCTTACCTCCTTTCCCTTTTCCTCTGCTTACTGTCCGGCCACCTGGAGCTCCAGCGGGCTGACTTGGATTCAAGGGCAGGAGTGGGCCTGGGGTGTGGGGATTGGGGCAGCTGGAGAGGGGTGGGTGTGGCTCCAGGTTCCCACCCCGGGTCTGATCGCACCGGCTCCATCACAGTGAGGTCGCCCACCGGCGACGGAGATGCGTTGTGTGTTACAGAAGAGGAGCCGGCTGGTGACGACGAGGACATGCCGACCTTCCCATGTGCACCAGAGGGTAAGGGCCCTGGGGGCTGCCCTCTGATCTCCTTGTCCCCATCCCTAGGCTGGTGACTTATCTCTCCACAAGCCTTCAAAATCCTGGCTGTCCTTGCTCCACTGCTCCCCGGAGGGTAGAAGGGCAGAGTTGCATCGGCCTGGGTTATGCAGTGTAGATGACGTCAAAGTTTGACACGAGTGACATCTGTCTCCAGGGCTCCTCCTGAGATCAGTCAGGGACCTCTGCCATCTCCCCCAGAGCCTGGCCTCTAACTGGCCCAGAACTGTCCCCTTCACCATATCCCATGCCACCCAAGTGGCTCATCCCCTTGACCTTCTGGACCCACCTGACGGATAATGGATAATCTCAGACACCAATGCCACCTGAACTGTTACTTAGAGGAGGGCTTCTGGGTGGGTTTCAGGATAGACTAGCATAGCTACTCTCAACCCATGCTGTATATTGTAATCACCCCAGGAAGCCCGTGACCAGCCCTCGGAAATTCTGATTCCTTTTGGTTTGGAGTAGGAAAGGGGCATCAGGAGTTTTAAATGTTCCCAGTACTCAAATGTGCAGCTGAAGTCGAATCTGCCTTAGAAATGTCACAACAGTTTCACAGTTGCATTCCCACTGGACCTTGGCCACCTGGCTTCCTTCTTCTTCCATACCAGGGACCCAGCCGGTGGGCTGAAACCATTCGTTCCGTTTCCAGGAGAACTCCTTGTCACCTGAGACGTTTGGGGGCTGAGGGGTTTCCCAGGGTGTGTGACTGGTTGGCCCCATACTGAGGAATTCCCACAATAGGAGATTTTTCGAGGCTAAAGCCCAGAATATCCTAGGCACAGTGGGACACGTTAGTCACCCAATGGTGACACAGGCCGGCTGCCCCATGTTGTGGACCATCATAAGGCCAATGTGTCTTCCTGAAGAGGTGTTTCCCTACACCTTGGGCCCATTGATGTTGCCCTAAGAGAGAGGATGGCACTGATGGGGGTGTTCTTTGAAGACCCCGACTCTGGTCTCTTCTATTGCTAAAAGCTCAAGGACCTAGAGAGAACACGGTGAGATGGGCAGACATGAGGATGGGGAACAACTCCCCTTCTGAGGCTGGTTTGAGAGGTGATGAGATAGGTCAGAGCAGGAACGTGAACCTGGACCTTTACCTGCAGCCTCAGCCACTGGTCTCCTTTGTCCCCCAACAGACCGGCCAGGGCCCCGCTGCAGCCGCTGCCAGAAGAACCTGTCTTTGCACACATCGGTGCGGATTCTTTACCTCTTCCTGGCCCTGCTCCTAGTGGCCGTGGCCGTGCTGGCCTCCCTGGGTGAGTGCAGGCGCCCCGCAGCCTCGGGGTAGGCCAGCATCTTTCTAGCTGGGGAATCTTCATACTTGATTCAGACTTCAAAGACTGGCCTCTGATTTCCAGTCCGTAAGTAGTTGTGTGGCTTTGAGCAAGGCACTTCCCCTCTCAGGACCTCTGTTTTCCTACTGGTAAGATGAGAGGACAGGACCAGCCCCATGTTTCCCCGTTTCAGCTCCATGTTAGAATCACCTAGGAGCTTTGAAAAAATACTGGTGCATGGGCCTCACCCCAGGTAATGTACATCCAGGGCTGAGATCCCTGGATTGGGCAATTTTGAAGCCCCTTCCATGGTCTTTGTGAGCGTTTCTCAAAGTGAGGTTGGATGCCTGCCTGCATCAAGGTCATCCCGAGTATTTGTTAAAATGCAAATTCCTGAGTCTCACTTGGACCTCGCTTGTTAGAGCGGAGCCCTGCAGGTGAAGGCCAGGGACCTGGAGTGTGGTGGCTGTCATACACACCACAGCTTGTATGGCTATGATAGTCAACCCAGATGGTGGCGCACAGCCAGGTTCGGGCAACCTCTGCCTTCTGGATGCTAATAGATCATGCTAAACGGAGGGAAACAAATTTGACGCCTTCTCGCTGCAGTCCCAAGCCAGTCAGCTTCAGATTGAGAAAATCCAGATGTCTTTCCTAAGGGAGGCCAGTAGTTTGTTTGTTCCGATGGACTAGGCATTGGGGACAAGGCTGGGACTCAGGTGAGACAAATGAGGAATGGGGGCGGGGGGCGGGGGTGCCTCAGTCTAGGAGGCACCTGCTCCCGGGCCTGGCTAGAGATATTCAGCAACTGGCTTTCTTGGCTTGAGGGCAAGAGGCCAGCATGCCAATGACTAGAATAGACACTCTAGTCATGTCCCAGGAGTCCTGATGGTTTTAACTAATCCAACAGAAGCCAAGCACCTACTTTGTACCAGGTGGTAGGAACATCAAGGTGAGTCCCTCACATTTCACCATCAGAGAGAGCAATTCTCTATTTTGTCTGGGGGATTCTAACCCTTCAAAGAGCATTGAAAATTCAATTCAAGAACTTTCCAAGCGCCTCACCCCATTCAGCCCCACTTCTTTCTACTAAATCACTTCATGGGGCTTGGCTTCTCAGAAAGGGGCCCAGATCCTGCCCGGGAAGGAGGGAGGAGTTGCTGTCCACCATTATGAGGTAGCAAACAGGACTGAACTTCCCAAGTCTGTTCCTGGCCAGGCCTTACAGGGCTTCAGCTCTCCACACCTGCAGGACCATGAATAAAGCTCCGGGAGCCACAGGCCTGAGCCCAGAGTGGAACACAGGCGCCGACCCACTTCAGAGGGTGTGGACAGTGATGGGGTGCCCACCAGGTGCCAGGTCCTAGCGCATACATGATTTCCACGAATCATCTCAACGAGCCCCGAAATGGGAGGCCGACCTCATTCCACATATCTGGGAAGGTGAAATGATTTGCCCTAAGATCCAGAGTGAATGAGCAGAAGATCATAATAATTTGTGGTTGAGGAGTGCATTCGGGGCATCCGGGGAGAACTTTAGGCTTCCTTTTTGTTTTTGTCTCCAGCCTGGGTATCCCAAGTCCCTAGAGTAGAGCTGACACCATCCTGACCTGGTTGGTAGGTACTCAATAATATTCGTCAAATGAATGACTAGAGATTTGTGAGTATATATGTGGACCGTCCTAGTCAAGGTACTATGGTCAGGACTGTGGATAAAGTCCAGAGGGTTGAGCAAAATCAGTCTTCCTCATAAGGACTTGGAAAATCCACTTATTCATTTAATTGGATTATCTGTTGCATGCATACTGTAAGCCAAGAACTGTGATAGGCACTGGGTATATACTGCTTAATAAAATATAGGCCTTGTCTTTATGGAGCTTATAATCTAGAGCAAGGCTTGGCAAATTTCCTGTAAAGGGCTAGGGTAGTAAATATTTTAGGATTTACGGGCCACACATGGTCATTGTCAAAACCACTCTGCCATCGTAAAGCCAGAGACAATACGTAAATGAATGGAGATGGCTTTGTTCCAACAAAGTGACCCTGGGTTAGATTCGGCGTACAGATCCTGCTTTGCCAACCCTAGGCCTAGAGCAATAACCTATGAACTTTTTTTGACCGTGCACCCCATCAATAAAAAGTTTGATTTAAAATACATCAGGGGCGCCTGGGTGGCTCAGTTGTTAAGCATCTGCCTTCCGCTCAGGTCATGATCCCAGGGTCCTGGGATCGAGCCCCGCATCGGGTTCCCTGCTCCATGGGAAGCCTGCTTCTCCCTCTCCCACTCCCCCTGCTTGTGTTCCCTCTTGCTGTGTCTCTCTCTGTCAAATAAATAAATAAAATCTTTAAGAAAAAATAAAATAAAATACATCAAAAAATTAGATGGACTGATGAATGGATAAAAAGATAAAATGGACAGATGTACAAGAAAGTAAATATAGTAAAATGTTAATTATAGAAAGTAGACAGTAGATACACTACTGCCCACTGTACGAGTAGGATAGTCACGTCCAAGCCTTGATTACTGTGTTTGAAAATTTTTATGCTTACATATTAGGAAAGAAAAAAATGATAATCTCACACCTGTAAAATATACGTATTTATTTATAAATTATATGTGTGTACTTTTTAGTATACATTATAAGACATAATTTTGAAAGGATGAGAAAAAAATAAGATCTAAAAAGTAAGGAAAACACTAAGCAAATTAATATGTGATTACAAATCTTGAAATGCACAGTGAAGAAATGAACAGGGTGAATTACATGAATGAGCCCTTGGCTATTGGCTTGGAGGTAGACTTTATAAAGCATTAGGATAGGAATCCAAGTCATTCAGCCTCTCTACGCCTTCGTTCCCCCCATCTATATAAGCAATTTTAATTTGGGGAAGGCTCAAATGGAATAATAAATACTATAAACTCTAGGAAACTGTTCCCAGGATCTCTCAACATGTGACTGCTAGTATTTAAGTCTCAACAGCTCTGAGATGTACAATGTTAATTAAAAGCCAGAGATTACAAAAAAAAATGGAATTTTGGAGCTGAGAAGAACATTAGAAGTCATCTAGCTTCATACTTTCCTTCTACAGATGATTCAGTCAAGCTGCAGAAAGATTAACTGACTTGCCTGAAGATACCCAACAAATCTGAGGCAAATGTGGACCAGAAGTTGCATTCCCTAACTCTCTTGTTGGGGGACTTTCCATCCCCCGGAACTTACCTTCGTAGGCTCTGTGGGAAGCATCTTGTCTACCCCGTCCTCTCCTCTCACTTCCCCATCCAGCCAGGCATTTGCTAGAGAAAGCCAGGGATTCTGCTGCTGCCCAGATGTGCTCTAACCCCTGGCCAGCACTGGCCCCTGAGAAGCTGGTATAAGCTGGTAAAATCTTTCCTAGGGGTCACTTTGGAACCATGTGTCCAACTTCAAAAATATTAATACCCTTCGACCCATTAATTCTACTTCAAGCAATTTATCCTAAGAGAATAACCATATATACACAACCATCAAATATAAGGATTATTTCTAGGAACAAGTGTTACTCATATTTACATATCAAGTTTTATTTGTAGGCTCAGAAGGGTCCCCCAACCACAGGGGATTTTTATATAATCGCTGAGTCATTTATATAGAGTATGATACAGACATTAAAATTAATGATTTTAAAAGTGATTTAAACCTCAATAGGAAAATGTCCATGACATGATACCAGTGAAGCAAAATGAAAGAAAATAGATGAGATATTCCAAACATTCCAGGTTTCTGTTGTTGTTCTCTAAAAGAGTATACATATATCTATGTAACTACAGAATGGTTATGGAGATAAGTAAGAGTCTAAGAGATACACGGAGATATTGATGGCTATTATCTCTCAGTGGTAGGATTAAAAATAATTTTTATATTCTTTTTGTGTTTTTTTTTTCTTAATTTTCCCTATTCTAGTCTAGCCTGTGGTCAGGTCCTAGTTTTAAAATCTGGAGGGGGATATATATATATGTATACACATACACACACATACATATACATATATACACACAAGTATATGTATACATACACGTAAACACTTAAGGGAGATGTATAAAGAGATATAGATCTGCCTAGATCTATAGATAGATGTAGATATATATTTTTAAGGAATGCATGACGAACTCTAGCCATAAGAAGCATCTTCCCTTACCACCACTGAAAAGCCCCATAGAAGGGTGAAAGGTTTTGGTGGCAGAGAGGCTGGTAAAAATACCTTCTCAATAAATGATTGCCATTTCTCTGAACTAAGACCCTGCCCCAGTTTCTCATCTGTATTTCCCATACAGTTTTCAGGAAAGTGGACTCTCTCTCAGAAGACATCTCCCTGGCCCAGGCCATTTATGACAAGAAGCTTATGTCTATGCAGGAAAATCTCCAAGGACTGGGTAAGTGTCCAGTATCCAGGTGTGCTCATGAGTATGAAGGGAGACCAGTATTAATGGGGGAGGGGTGAGTGTCCACCTCAGGCCATGGTGCCCTGGAGTAGGGCAGCCTTCACCAACCTTCCAGGCACAAGGAAAAGGCAGCTATGGCTCCCTTCCTCCCTGTCCACTCAGAGAGGGCTGCTGCCCTGGGATTCACCCAGCACTGGGGTCAAGGCTTTTGTGAGTGGTACGGATCTAGCTGGAACCTACAGGTAGAGAAGGAACCCAAAGACAGTCAATTCCTCAGTCATCCTTATGTATCTGAGATTATTATTATTTTTTAAAGATTTATGTATTTATTTGAGAAAGAAAGAAAGCACAAGTGCAAGCAGGGGGCGGGGTCGAGAGAGAGAGAGAAGCAGACTCCCCGCTGAGCAAGGAGCCCAACCCAGGGCTCGATCCCAGGACCCTGAGATCATAACCTGAGCCAAAATCAAGAGTCAGACGCTTAACGGACTGAGTCACCCAGCCACCCAGAAATTATTTTTAAGAACTTCCAAAGCCTCTTGATAAGTCTACCCTACCCTACCAATTCATGATACTCTTTATTTCCTGCTTTAACCAGGGACCTTCTCGTTCTGAGACTGAGACAGAAGGAGCCACAATAGAACGTGTAGAGGTGGCCTGCCCTGACAGAAAGAGAAAGTACTAGCTGAGTGATATTTGGCAAGCCTCTTCTCTGTGCCTCATTTCTTGACTGTCACAGGGAGAAATAATCCCCAGACCATCTTTTCCCCATAAGTTTATCGATAGCAAATATAAAAATATTTGGAGAAATACTAAGATAAAGTGTAAATGGGTGGTTCTTGGCAACCTTAGAAAGTTATGAAGGTATATATTCTCGAGAATTTGGTGGCGAGATGGAAAAAAATGTCCCCACTTCTACATTTCATGTCAGAGTAAAGACATTTGGTAAAATAATATTTCATAGAGATGATAAGGCTTTTCCAAAAAGGATTTCCTAGCAGGCTTAGGATAGGAAGAGGGATCGGGAAGCCACTTGACAATCCATTATGCTCTGAAATAGGTAAAGAAGCAACTTTTGTCCCATGATCCTTCTGCAACTCAAAATGTTGTCTCTTTCCCCTGAAGATCTGAAAGCCCCAAACAACTGTTCCTTCTGCCACGAGGCTGGGCAGCTGGAGCAAGAGATCAGAAAACTGCAGGAGGAGCTGGAGGGAATTCAGAAGATGCTTCTGGCCCAGGAGGTGCAGCTGGACCAGACCTCTCAGACCCACGAGCTGCTCTCCACCACCAGCAGTCAGATCTCCCAGGAGATGGGCAGTTGTTCATTCTCCATCCACCAGGTCAACCAGTCTCTGGGGCTCTTTCTTGCCCAGGTGAGAGGCTGGCAGGCCACCACGGCTGGCCTGGACCTCTCTCTGAAGGACCTCACCCAGGATTGCTATGATGTCAAGGCTACAGTCCACCAGATCAACTTCACCGTGGGGCAGACTTCGGAGTGGATCCACGGGATCCGGCGGAAGACTGACGAGGAGACCCTGACCCTCCAGAAGATTGTCACCGACTGGCAAAACTACACCCGACTCTTCAGCAGCCTGCGCACCACCTCAGCCAAGACCGGAGAAGCAGTCAAGAACATCCAGGCCACCCTGGGGGTCTCCTCCCAGCGCATCAGCCAGAATGCCGAGAGCATGCACGACTTGGTGCTGCAGGTCATGGGCCTGCAGCTGCAGCTGGATAATATCTCGTCCTTCCTGGACGACCACGAAGAGAACATGCATGATCTGCAATACCACACCCGCTATGCCCAGAACCGCACGGTGGAGAGGTTCGAGACGCTAGAAGGACGCATGACTTCGCATGAGATCGAGATCGGCACCATCTTCACCAACATCAATGCCACCGACAACCACGTGCACAGCATGCTGAAGTACCTGGACGATGTGCGGCTCTCCTGCACGCTGGGCTTCCACACCCACGCTGAGGAGCTCTACTACCTGAACAAGTCCGTCTCCCTCATGCTGGGCACCACAGACCTGCTCTGGGAGCACTTCAGCCTGCTCAGTGCGCGGCTGGACTTCAACGTCCGAAACCTCTCCATGATCGTGGAGGAGATGAAGGCTGTGGACACGCAGCATGGAGAAATCCTTCGCAACGTCACCATCCTAAGAGGTAAGAGCCAGACTTGGGCCACACCTGCTATGGAGCTCTCAGAGGGCTGTGGTGATCTTGCCTGACACAGAAGTACCTGGTTTCAGGCAAAAGTCTTGGTAGGCTCATGCAATCCTGTAGCAAATGCCTAGGGCAACTGGAAGCTTTAAAACACAGTTGCTCCCCGTTATCTGTGGTTTCAATTTTCTCCTAATGAGGTATCCCCAGAAGGTCAATAGTAGCCTAATGCTATGTCACAATGGCTGTGTCCTTCACCTCACTTCATCTCATCACTTAGGCATTTTATCATCTTAGGTCATCACAAGAAGGGCAAATGCAGTACCATAGATATTTTGAGATAGAGAGAGACAACATTCACGAAATGCCTAATTTATGCATTAAACTTTATCATAGGTAAGTATATATAGGAAAAAGCAGGCTATATAGGGGGGTCTTGGAACATATCCATCACAGATAAGGGAGGTCTACTGTACCTACAAACCTCTTTTGTAAAGGTGCTATGACTCCTAACTTTGCCTGCCATACAAAACTGGATTTTCGTACGTGGATGTGTTTGATTGGTCCACACAGAGAAATAGAGAGACCTCGTCTTGGAAACTCTGTTTTCTCATTTTCTCCCTTCCACCCCATCATTGGGGTGCTCAGCCACCTGCCCCTTGGGATGTTCATTACTCTGATGCTCTCTTTTCCTCTCATCTCACCCCTGCATTAGTCAGGGTTCTCCAGAAAAACAGACCCACTAAGAGAGAGAGAGAGAGAGATTATTTTAAAAATTGGCTCATGTAATTAGGGAGGCTGGCAAGTCCAAAATCTGCTCAACTGATGTTCCAGTTTGAGTCGGAAGGCCAGATGTTGCTGTAGAACAGGAGGAGATGATGGGGAGTTTGAAGGCCATCAGGCAGGAGAATTCTCTTTTACTTATGAGAGGGTCAGTCTTTGGTTCTATTCAGGCCTTTAACTGATTAGATGAGGCCCACCACATTGAGGAGAACAATCTGCTTTACTCAGTAACAGTTTAAAAGTTAGTCTCATCTATAAACACTCCTACAGACACATCCAGAATGTTTGGCCAAATGTCTGGCCACTCTGTGGTCCAGTCAAGTTGACACATAAAATTAACCACCACAAGTCAACTTGGCACCCATACACATCTCCTTAAATAATACTTAATCCCCAAATGGAGATACGAACAAGGTTACAATTCTGCCTAATGCTCATGATGCGAGTATCCTGTGTACAATCAAAACCACACTAACCCCTTCCCCAGAAGAGAAGGTAAAATCCTTGAGGGATATTTACTTTTCCCTTTGATATCTCATAATTTATATACTATGACATAAAGTTAACAATACTGTGATATAAAGTCAATATATTTTATATTTTATGTTACATGATAAGGGGATAAGAGAGGGAAGAAAGCAAAAATACTATATATATAGATATTTATATATTTATAACACAACAAGGAGGAAATACTCTTGACAAGGAGTACATGGTCATAGCTGATATCTATAACTTCCTCCTTCCTCTACCCATCTGTATTTTCTTTTCCCTCGGCAAGCACCTCAGCTGGTTGTTATTCTTTACCTGGTAGGGTGATCCAAACCTTCATTCCCAATCTAGGGTCCTTCCTAGATTGGACTGGGCCATTATAGTTTTCCACTGAATTTATTTCAGGGCATGGTAGCACCGAGAGACACTCTTCAGGATCTTCTGAATTCCAGACATGCTCTCCCTTACCTCCATTTTAGAGTAGTGGATCAGTTTCTTCTTGGTAGTCAGGATCAGTCACCTCAGTCAGCACAATAACTTCTTTGCCTATTAATTCAGAGCCATGAGAAGCCCAAAGTGACTAGGCAGCAGTCTTAACTTCCAGTTCAATGGAGTCATTGTTTTATCTCCTGGCAGAAACATTCCTTCCTTTGGAACAAAGATCTCTAAGCCAGCAGAGCCTAAGGTTGTGGGAATAAGAAGCAAACATTTTGCTAGTGGGTCACTAGGGGTGATAGTGGGTGGTGTCTTTCCCATCTCCACCCCTTGATCGCAGTTCCAGTGAATCCTGGCTATCAGAGGAACAGCACCATAGATACTGGACGCTGATTCAGACCACATACAGCCCTGCAAGATATGGCCCCCTAGCTAGCACTGGAACTGGGTCTTCAAAGGCCATTTCAATCTTCTGTCAAGCCAGCTGTGTCAAGTTGGTGGGGACCATGGCAACACCAGGGAATTCCCTGATCATGGGCCCATTGTTGAACTTTATTTGCTGTGAAGTGATTTCCTTGATCAGAAGCAATGCTACACTGGAATACCATGGAATACCACGATGGTGGATAATGCATTCTGTATGGTATTTTTTGGCACAAGCACTTCATGCAGGGAAGGCAAATGCATATCCAGAGTAAGTTTCTATTCCAGCAGGAACAAAACATTGCCCCTTCCATGATGGATGTGGTCCAGTGTAATTAACCTGCCACCAGGTAGCTGGCTGATCACCCTGTGGAATGGTGCCATATTGGGGATTTGGTGGTAGTCTCTGCAGTTGAAGATTAGGCACTTGGCAGTAGCCATAGCCAGGTTGGCCTTGGTGACTGGAAGTCCATGTCGCTGACCCCATGCACAAAATCCATCCCTGTCATCGTGGCCACTTTGTTCATGAGCCCATTGGGCGGTGACAGGGGTGACAGAAGACTGACTGGTATCCCACAGAATAGGTCATGCAATATCCACTTGACTATTAGAATCCTCCTCTGTTGAGCTCACCCTTTGGAGAACATTCACAGAGGACACAAATGGCTTCACGTTTTTTTTGCCCCTACAGAGAGGACTCTCCACATACCTCTTCCCCAAATTTTCTTGTGACCAGTTTTCCAACTGTATTTCTTCTAAGTCCCTGACCATCCAGCCAAACCATTGGCCACAGCCCATGAAGCAGGTTATAATCACACATCTGATAATTTCTTCTTCCAAGCAAGCATGACGACCAGGTACACTGCCAGAAGTTCTGCCCATTGGGAAGGTGTTCGGTCACCACTGTCCTTCAGGGAAGTCCCTTCCAGTTGTAATGTAGCAGCTGTCCACTTTCAAGTGATGCCTGCCTATCATGCAGAACCAATTGTAAACTAGGTCAGAATCTTCTCTTCCTCTGTCAGCTGGTCATAGGGAAGTCCCCGTAATACCATAGGTGCAGGCTGGGAGAGGAGGTAGTATAGTAGGAGTGGGGACCATGGGTATTTGGGCCACTTTATCCTGGAACTTACTTGTGCATTCAGGGCCTACTCAGGCCTGATTACATATATACCACTTCCATTGGATTATGGAATGTGGCTCTGTATGCCCAGCTTTATAACTTGGTGGGTCAGAAAGTACCCAGTTCAAGATGGGCAGCTCAGGTCTCATGGTAACTAGATGGTCCTTGGCTAGCATCTAGTCTCTACTCAAGCCCTATAATAGCCCAAGAGCTGTTTCTCAAAAGGAGAGTAGTGATCCACAGAGGATGGCATGGCTTTGCTTCAAAATCCTAAGGGTCCATAGTGCAGTTCACTTACAGGGATCTGTCAAAGGCCCTAAACAGCATCCCTATCTGCCACCACCACTTTAAGCACCATTGGGTCTGCTGGATCATAGGGCCCAAGTGGCAAAGCAGCTTAACCAGCAGTCCAGACCTGTTTCAGAGCCTTCTCTTGTCCTGGGTCCCACTCAAAACCAGCATGCTTTCAGATCATTCAGTAAATGGGCTGGAATAACACACCCAAGTGAGGAATGTGTATGTTGTCCCCAAAATCCAAAGAGGCCCACGAGGTGTGCCTCTTTTTTAATTGTAGGAGGGGCCAAATGGAAAAGGTTATTCTTCACCTTAGAAGGGATATCTCAACATGCCCACATCACTGGACCACTAAAAATTTCACTGAGGTAAAAGGCCCTTGAATTTTTTTTTTTTTTTAATTTATTAGAGAGAGAGAGAGAGAGAGCATGAGTGGAGAGAGGGAGAAGGGGGCTCCCTGCTCAGCAGGGAGCCCGATGCGGGGCTCGATCCCAGGAACCTGAGATCATGACCTGAGCTGAAGGCAGACGCTTAACCAACTGAGCCACCCAGATGCCCCAAAGACCCTTGAATTTTTGTCGTATTTATGTCCCCTGCTCTGACACATAAATGTCTCACAAAGCAGCTACTACTTGCTCGCTAGGTTCAATCAGTGTAATATCATCAATGTAGTGCAAAGGAGAACAAGTTCCCTAGGAACTGAAGTATGACATAGAGCTGGAGCATTGGCCTTTTCCACCATAATACCCCTTACTCCATAGATCAGGGAATCAATGTGAGATTCTGCCAGCTTCTCAGTATGTCTGTTCCAGTTATGCATTCCAGAACTCGGAAAACAACCACAGGGTGGATTCAGGGACCCACTGGGCCTCCTGTGAGATGGGCCTCAGTTAAAACCCCATTGATCACCTGACCTCCATAAGCCCCTACTCTGACTGGAGGCCACAGTGGTGTTTGGGTCTCCTGGAATCAGTGTCCGCTCAGAGCCAGCAGTCCCCCAAAGGGATGATTATTTCCTTTTCCCCAGTGTACAGTTATCCTGGTAAAAAGCTGTAAGTCCCATTGGGGAAGGCTGGGAAAATTAACAGTATAAATATTTGGTGTGTACTGGGGTCCTTCCTCAAGGGTACCCAGCTTCCCTTTCATTTAAGTCATTCTGGGTTTGTAAACTGGCTCAAGTCTGAGGAGAAGCCATGACTGTTTTTATAATTTGGATTAGACTTTTGTTCACTTGACCTGGAACTTCTCTGCTTATTCAGAACAAGTAAGAATTTAGTAGGCTTCCTATCTATTTCACTTCTAGGCACACTATGACCAACTAGCCAACGCCATGGGTCTGTGCACGTCAGTCTATCCCCATCACTGCGTTGACTCTGCTATTATGGTATCCATGCTCTCCTTGCCTTAAGCAGTTGAGTGCCACCATTAGGTATCTGCCATCCCAGGATCCATTTAC